GACGGCTTTCCCAGCCTCTGCTTGAAGACATTCAGCAAGGGAAAAGCTCACCTCCTACTCCCAGTAGATTGATTCCGTTGTCAAATCACAGTTACTCCTTATGTTCCTTTGCCTTTCTTGTCACTTGTGCCCTTTAGATCGAGTCTTGCCATCTGCAGTGGGATATCTGTTTGGGAGAGGCTCCATTTGGGACTTAAAAAACAGTTTGGGATCTAATTACAGATGCTAGAATAACTTTGGAAGCAGCAAAAAAAAAAACCTCTCGCTCATCCAGTAATGGTTGCACACAGTTCGGTATATGATAGTCTTGAATAAGATGACTGTTTATAAATGCAGGTGGAAGTAGAAGGCTTGGGCAAGTGAAATATATGTAGGGCTCTGTTTACCTGTTAATCACCGGAATAGGCATAATTCATCAGCTGGAGTCAAGGAGCAGGTGCTGGGATGTGTTTAAAATAATTGACTGGAATATTTATATTTTGTTGCTTGACAGTCTATTAAAAGCGGTTATCTTCTTTGCAAACAGAAAATAATGTAATGCACAGGCATGCCGCTGCTATCGTAGAAACGCGGTGTGTTATATGATAACGTGATGTATGATGCTGCTAATGGAAATCAGTAAAAATTTGGAACAGGTTTCTTACGTTAACGGGAATAGCACAAGACAAGTTGGCGAGGGAGGGCCACCCAGTGTCACTGCTGTAATAGAAGAATCTACGTGGAGTTACCACAACTGTCAGTTACCATTGATAAGAGGAGCGAGATACGTCCGCATGAACGGAAAGCCATCAATATCAAGAGAAGGTTGTTTTCAGTGGTGCTATCTTGGCTGAAGAATGGCCACCTTCAGCAGACACCATTAGACTACATCGCTGTCCGCATTCTGCCTGATAGTTATCCCCTCCTGGTTTACTAATGCTTTTAACCAACGTTTAAATGTCGGTCCTGATCTTCCTTTTTGTTTACCCCCATTTGTCTGTTTTCGCAACATCTAGCTTTATGTCTTTTATGGTACCATGGTTATCGGATGAGCAGCATTTACGGGGTTTGTTTGGGACGAGGGTCATAAAGCAGTCGCTGTTGCCTCAGTGCAGTTCAGAGTCGAGGCTTCCAAGGCCCGGCTCTGACACCCCCCTTGCTGTTTAACAATAATGGAATCCATCTAACTGTAAAGAATATTTTGCTTGTGGGTTTTTCTTTATTCTTAGGACGTCATCTCTGTTCCTGTTGTGTTCTCTACAGACAGACTCCAGCATCTTAACCTGTGTGGTCGCTTACTACTCTGGTGACAATGCCCTAAAAGTGACATATACCAACAAGCAATAATTCATCTTATGAAAGGTATCATTTATTATTATTTACTCTTGATCTCCTGGCAATAAGCTCCTCATAATAAACTCATAAAAGGCAGACAGAACTCAGACACCACAGGAACCAAGGCAGTAGCCCTGTGCAAATGGGAGCAGGAAGATATTAGATCGGGAAGATATTGGGGCAGAGGTTCTGAAAGTTGGCCAGTGAGACATGACTACTTATATAATCTCCATCCAGTCCTGAGAGATGGTGCAAAGGCACCTACGGTCTCCGTTCCACCAGTAAATCCTGTGCAACACCAAATCAGTGAGGAATAAAATTTCACTCTTCGTAGGCTCCTGGAGGATGTAAAATGTACCTGACTTGCATGACAGAAAGTGAGTTTGAAGAAAATGATGGGGTGTGTCTGATACTGCCTGGTTGTGCTGTCCTTCATCAGCCCTTAACAGGAGAATAAGGCAGCATTGGCCATGGCGGCTGTCATCATCCACGAATCTTCCTCTTTTGACAGATTTCCTGGGCACAATATAGCCGGCGTTCATTGTGTGTTCCTTATGTTAGATTCCAGGCACAAATTGGGTTTTCCGCTCACGTACCAGCCACCTACTTCCTTCCTAGGCGCCTGGCAAAGGTAACCTCAGGTTTGGTGCTGGAGATAGCCAGATTGATTGCTCTGAGTGATTTCAGCATCCTTTCCTATGGCAGCCCTGGATTTCATAGCCCCCGGGAGTGATTTCAGCATCCTTTCCTATGGCACCTTGTCTGGGCCAGCCCTGGATTTCATAGCCCCCAGCCACTATTGGTGCATCTCGGGTTGTGACAAGTCCAATGCATACCGAAGGACATGCTTCGGACTTAAACTTTTGCAGTGACTCTTTGGGGGATGGCCTAGTCTTGGGACTAGAGGTTCATCCTGCACTGTGGCTCCTCAAGGCACAGGTGACTGTGACTCAGGCACTCTACAGGAGTGAAGAATGGATTAAAATGGTTCAGTCAGACATCAGAGACCGCCAATAAACAATGCAGTGGGACTAGTATTACAGAGCATAGCTCAGCCACCAGAGGGGGTGCAAGGGAAACCAGTGACACCCAACAAAATGCCTCAGATGGTTGGGGGAATCAGAATCCAATTAGGCATGACTTTCAGACAAGGTAAGAAGGAGAAGGAGAAGAAAAAGAAGAGATTTATACCCTGCCCTTCACTACCCGAAGGAGTCTGAGAGTGGCTTACGATCTCCTTTCCCTTCCCCTCCCCACAGCACACCCTGTGAGGTAGGTGGGGCTGAGAGAGCTCTCCCGAGAACTGCTCGTGAGAGAACAGCTCTGAAAGAACTTGTAACTGACCCAAGGTCACACCAGCAGCTGCATGTGGAGGAGCAGGGAATCAAACCTGGTTCTCTCAAATTAGAGTCCGCACTCCTAACCACTACACCAAACTAGGGAGAGAGAGAGAGAGAGTGTGTGTGTGTATATCTTGGGGGGTGGGGATCAGGTCTTCCTTCTATTTCAGGGCAGTCAGGATGCTCCAGAAGACAGTGTAATGCCTTACAAAACATGGATTCCTGATAAACTGTCAGAAGAGCCAACTATCATCTTGGCAGGTCATCTAGCACCGGAGTGTAATAACTGAATTAAAACAGACACAGAGACAACCTAGACTCTTTCTGCCCCCAGGCAGGGCACAGAAGGTGGTGTGTGAAGCTGGTGCAGTCAGAACAAGGGGCTGCAGGGCAGTGTTCCCTCTAAGCTGTGCACGTGCGCGGCTGCTCATTAACCCAGGAAGCCCCGCTCGGCAGCAGTCTGGAGCCGCACAGGGTCTTGCACTGCCCGTGGCCCATTTTAAGATCACAGCACTTATATTCTGCTCAGGATACGAACTGCTACGCTTAGGGTTTCCAAGTCGCTTACTGCTAATAGCGGGGGAGAGTTGGTCCCTACCCTAGACATTCGTGCATGCGCTTTGTGTGCGCGCCGTGATAATGTCACCTGGAAGTGACATCATCACGTTGGGCACATCGTTGGCTGACGCTCTAGCAATCAGCCTGGAAACTCTATGGTACCATAGAGTTCAACACTGGAAAAAAGGGGGGGCATTTAAATTTCTTAGGGGGCACTGGCTAACGCCACCCGCCCTCTGAGCCTGGCCCTAACACCATGCCAAGCAGCAACCCAGCAGAACTGGGGGAAGGGAGCAGGGTGGAGAAGGAACAGTGACCCATGGGGCAGCCATGCCAGCAGTACCTGGCGCAGCCCTGAGCTACACTGCAGCTTCTGCCCCCCAGGCCTCTACCCAAGACGCCAACCCCACCTCACCGTGGCCCCTCGGGGCACAGCTCCTTCCCCTACATCTGCCACCACTCGGGCCCTGGGCTCGATGGGAAGTTGTGGGGCCTTGCCAGTAAGTCAAGGGGCCTAGCCCCGAGATGCCCCACTGTAGCCACAGGCCTGCTTCTTGGGCTAACATGTTCTTTCTCCTGGCATATTCCCTGCTGACCATGAAAAGCTGTTCAGACCACCCTCTTTTTCCCTCACACACGTTGATAGCCCAGTACTGTTTAGTGCCAGCATCGTGGGTCGATGGGGAACTAGTGCAGACAGAAACACCTGCACACTGGGATTGTGCTGAAATCCTTTCCCTGCAGCTACAGCTGCCCGGACTTAATCTTCCAGGGATAAACATCTTTTGGTACTTGGCTGGCGTATACAAACCTTATTGTAGGCAGAGCTCAGAGAATAGCTGATGGTAGAGCAGGGCAGAATTTTCAAAATGGGCCTAGTTCCAAACTGACAGTATTGGCTTAAGAGGTGTTAAAATATCGGATTTTTTAAAAAATTGTATTTTCCATCTTTAAAAAGCATGGGTGTGAGAATAATGTTATCTGGGAGCAAGGTTAGTGGTCTGAAAAATATCATTTGCTCCGTTGTCACCTCCACAGAGCATTATCTCAATAAACATCTCTTGGAAACCCTATTCCATATGGTGAGACTCTTGTTTCCTGCACAGAACCTTTTAGCGGGGGAACCTCTGCCCTCCCCGGGGCCTGGCCACCCTAGCTCCACTCAGTAGGAGGGAAAAAGTAGAGGGAGCTTTGCCAGGGTTTTTACCCATTTACAGGGATCTGTGATTATGGGCGTGGGCGCAGGTCTGTAGCCAAGAACATGCTCTCTCTCTCTACAAGGAGACCTGCTTCCATACCAGGAGAACCACATCTTTCTCAAAAAAGGCAACAGTGGAACATAGCAATAATCTCTTTGCCGTTTGTTGTTTGTAGTTGGTTATTTGTTAAGAGTTGTTTATATAAAATTTTTCAATAAAATTTCATTAAAAAAAAAAAAGACAACAGTGAAAATCCAGCATTCATTGAGACAGGACCTCTGCTGAGGGACAGTAGAGAAATGACTTCACAAGCCAGCCTCTTCACTCATCACCTTGGCATTGTTCCAGGAGTTTTGGCTATCCAGGGATAGATTTGTTGGCATCTCAGGACAATGCCGTGGTATTTTCTCTCAGTCAGATGCCCAGATTAGTGTGAGAGCCAGTTGGTGTAGTGGTTAGGAGCGCTGACTCTGATCTGGGAGAACCGGGTTTGATTCCCCCACTCCTCCACATGCAGCTGCTGGTGTGACCGTGGGTCAGTTACAAGTTCTCTCAATGCTGTTCTCTCAAAGGGAGACCCTAGCCATGGGACAAGAGCGGGATATCAAGTCTAATGTAAATAAAAAAAATAAATAAATAATAATTGCAAAGATGACCAACTCAAACAGGAGGAGGCAGAAATTATATGTTTGGCTCTTGGGTGGTTTTCCAGCATGGTTGCCATATTGATGCTCTACTCTGGAACTCCCATGGGCTCTGAACAATTCCCGTCTGTGGGAAGCTTTTGCTGCTCCCACATCCCAGCTGCTCCTTGTTCCCCACCCCTGGCTAAAGGTTGCCTTCCAGCTGTTCATCAGGCAGTGGGCTGTAAAAGAGCAGCAGGCTTTGCCTTGAAGGCAACGCTTGCGTTGTCCTGTTGACGCACGGACGTGGAGGGTGGGTCCCTGGCTTCCCTCAGAGTCAGGGAGCCTTGGGGTTGCTTTGACTGTTTGGACACTGAGCAGCAAGTGAAGTTAAGCCAAAGCTTTTTTCAGGACAAGTTACTTATGCAACATGAACATCAAGAATATGCAACTGCACTTGGAAGGCATAGCTGAAATGGTGCAGAGGTTAAAAAAAAAAATGCAACCTCAATCGGAAACCTTCCGCAGTTCAAAGGCTGAAGCCTAGCACACTCTATAGACAAGCAGCGGCCTTAGCTTCTGTTATACTCAGGGTTGCCAACTTCCAGGTGGTGGCTGGAGATCTCCTGGAATTACAGCTGGCCAGGCTGAAGCCTAGCACACTCTATAGGCAAGCAGCCGCCTTAGCTTCTGTTATACTCAGGGTTGCCAACTTCCAGGTGGTGGCTGGAGATCTCCTGGAATTACAGCTGGCCTCCAGAATGCGCCGATCCAGAGAAAATGGCTGCTTTAGAAGGTGATTCTATGGCGTTATACCCTGCTGAGGGCCCTCCCCACCCTTCGCCCCCAAAACCTCCAGGTGTTTCCCAACCCACAGCTGGCGACCCTAGTTATGCCATCAACAGGAGGTCTCTCCGTTTTGAGATGTCTTTCGGTGCAACATTTCTTAAAAGGAGCATCAGCCCCTGATTATCCATAGGTTCTTGTCATGGAGGCTGCACATTCTACAAGCTTTGACCAGGCCTCCCTTTGAGCACTTGGGCACAAAGGGATTTCCTTCGAGGTCTTTAAATGTTCTTTTTGCTAGCAGTCTGAAGAGGATCCAAAGAGGCTGAAGAGGATCCAAACTGGGCGTGCGATCACTAGGGGACTGTGCATCTTCCATAAAATAGCGATTTTACGCCCAGACGCCACAGTCATGCCTGAAATGAACTTCGTACACCACAAATCAGTGGACCATCTACCTGCCTTCTTTTTGCCCAAAACTTCTCACTCTAAGAACTGGCACACTGGACCTGCACAGGGGCAATGCATAAATGCCAGAAGAGAAGATTAGCTGATCACCCTGTCATGGGGAACATTTTAGCAGTTAGCATCCCTCAGAGAAGGATGAAGGGTAGATTTCATTAGAATATACCATTGCAGTAGCACTGTGTAGCTTTTTTGCTAGGGGGGGAATGACTCAGAACTAGGGTTGCCAAATGGGGGCAGGGGGCGGGGAAACCCCCACTTTGGAGGCCCGATTTCCGCCGCGGCGGAATCAGGCCCCGGGGGGAACTCCGCCCCCAAATCTGCGTCACCAGTGGTGACACAGCCACGTTGCTGACGTTGGGGACGTGGCTGAGCTCGTCGGGGGGGAAACCATATGGTTTCCCCCCCGACGCGTTCGGCCACGCCCCCAAGTCCGCAACGTCGCCCGCCATCCAGTGACGTGGCGGCGCCCTGCTCCCAACCTCGTCGAAGCCTCCCCCGCCGGTAAGTTTGCCAGACTTGGCAACCCTACTCAGAACCCAACTCCGAGCTGACAACCTAGTCAGCTGGGAGTCAGCTTTTGACCAACAGGCAGTCGCAAACTTGTTGAACAGCTGTTCAGATTTCTCAATGCAATCCGAACGCAACCCTGTTTAGCTCTCGATTTGATTGCGATTGTCAAATGGAGCAAGTTCAGCTGCTGGAGAAATGTACAACATCCCTGCTTATTTGACAAAACACTGTTATGGGTAACGTTGTATAGTTGACTGGTGGTAACATCATACACTGAGAAGTCCCAAGATGAATTTCACTTCAGCCATGGACGTTGTTTTCCACAGTGCCCTGTTCCCGCTGCCCCCTGCAACAGAAGGATAATACCATTTTATTTCACAAGAATACTTGCAGATTTTACTGAGATACAATATTCAAAGGCATAACGAGTATTTCTTCATAAATAGTTACGCTTCTCATCAATGCACATGGTGCTTTATGACATAAGCAAAAAAAGCGGGCTGGTTTCCACTGTGGGCAGATTTGTGGAATTAAAAGGCTTGTTGTAAGCTAATGTATTCATTGTTTGGATTGCATTGCATCAGGAAAGGTTCTGAGATTGGTGTTCGGTTTGAGGGAGGAACTGGAGAGAACCCTTTTTAGTCTTTTCCGAAGGATTGCATGGCCGTTTGTATTTCACTTGTCACATAAAAAAAAACACACCCCACTATCATACCCCCTGGTGAGGCTGTGGGGAAACGCTGACATTTCATGAAGTCGGCTCTCCGTTCTCGGAGCCTGGGAACTAACAAATTGTTTAGACTCCTTGTAACTTGGTAACAGAGAGGAATGAGACAACTTTATAGAAACTGACCCTCTGGGAGAGGAATAGAGCGAGGAGATGAGGACGGTTATCATATTGCTCTCTCCTCCTTTCCTTTATCCTTCCAGCAAGAGCCCGGTGAGGTAGGTCGGTCCTCTGGCGAGTTTCCATGGTAAAGCAGGGATTTGAGAGGTGTCCCCCGGACCCCAGCATGTCACTTGTTATGCTGTGCCAACTGTCACCTTGCATGTTTTGGCTTGGAGGGGAATCGCATGTTTACTTACTCCACAGTAAGCATAAGATGTTGCAGCTGGCAAAGACATTTTGAAGCCTCACCTGGGAGTAGCATTAGAAATCAACACGGATCCTTTTTTTTGGGGGGGGGGGTGCTTCTTCTTTTTTAAAGCAAGTTCCAGCATCAAATCCGTAGAGATTATTTTTAGCATTCTCATGGAGTTAAGGCCTCTGGCTGCTCAAGACCGTGGTCCATTCTGCATCTGGCATTCGCTCCACGTTTTATCAGCACATGACCTGGTTCCCCCTTGCCTCGGAATATCTGTTTTGATTGCATCGCCTCAGATCCTGGTTTCTGCATTGGCTAGTGTCAGCTTGCCATCTATTTTGTTTTCAGTGCTGGCTCCTGCATTGGCATGCAGATTTTCCTGTGTCAGTATTTGCCCCAGCGGTCATTAGCTGCCTGAGCCAAGTAATTCATGGCAAGGTGATAAAAACAGAGGGGAAAATAGGGGCAGGGGAACTGAGGGAGATCAGTGAACCCGTGTCAAGTCGTCTGCTTATTGTTCCCTTCGACTAGGAAGCGGAGGGAGGAAAAGGTGCCGCTCAAAACCACCTTCAGATTACCTGGGGCAACACTGTACTGACTGCGAAGTCACCCTCGAACAGCCATAAATCTATGCAGAAGGTACCATAAAACCCAATAGACAAAGAAAGTGAAAGCAGCATGCATGCAGAGGGAGATTAACCTCCCATGTGACTTTGGAAAAACTGAGAGGAAACAGATGGGTGCAGAATCAGCCTAAGAGATTTGACACGGTTTCCTCTCCAGGTTTTAACAAGGACTTAGACTTTTTTACCCACTGTAAGTGTTAACTAGCTTAGCAAAACTAGCAAATTACCTTTTTTATTTTTCTCAATCAAGATTTGACTTTAACGTAGTTACATTTTGTCCTGTACTTCCTGGATTTCATGTCCCTTTGACCCTGCTGTTTGTTTGTCATCCTACATTTATTGATTGACTGATTATTACAGTCAATGACCAGCGGAATTCATCCAGGTGTAGTGGTTAGAGTATTGGACTATGATCTGGGAGACCCAGGTTCAAAAACCCACTCTGCAATGGAAGCTCACTGGGTGGCCTTGGGCCAGTCACTCAGCCTAACCTGCCTCACAGGGTTGTTGTGGGGATAAAATGGAGGAGAGGAGAATTACGCAAGCTTCTTTGGGTCTCCATTGGAGAGAATGGCATGGTATAAATAAATAAAATGCACCCAAAGAAGTGAGCTGTAGTCTATGTTAGTATCATCATCATCATCACCTAGCATTGTATATAGAATAGCCAGGAGATCCTAAGATTATCTGGCAGCCAGAAGTTCTAGCTCTTTAGCATTATGCACCACTAGGTGGTGAGCTAGACTTGTTTCAAGGTAAGAGACGTTTCAGAGGTGGTTTGCCATTGCCTGCCTCTGTGTCCCGAGCCCTGGTATTCCTTGGAAGTCTCCCATCCAAATACTAGCCAAGGCCAACCCTACTTAGCTTCCAAGATCTGACAGGACTGGGCTAGCCTCGGCTACCCAGGTCAGGGCTCTGTGTTGGGAAAAAAACCTACTTAGCTTATAATGTGGCACTAGACCTCCTGTTTGTTTTAACTCCAAGCAGTAAGTATTCAGGGGTCAAAACGAAGACCAGGGATCATGAGCAAACCTCCACAATTAAATGGCCAAACAGAATTTAAAACATGGCACTGAATATTGTTGTTACTGGGTAGTGGGCGCTGCCATTTTCATGTGGCAGCACACCACTTCTGGCAAATAAATCTGATTGCTGACTCTCTGTGCCAGACTTCAATTGGCCACTCAGGTAAGAACTCTCATGAAGAAGTATAGGGCTGGGTCCAGTAAACACACATGAACACCCATAAAGCTGCCTTATACTGAATCAGACTCTTGGTTCCTCAAAGTCATATGTTCTACTTGGACTGGCAGTGGCTGTCCAGGGTCTTGGACAGAAGTCTTTCACATCACCTACTGGTAATGTCTATCAATGGAAGGGATTTCCATCAGTGGAGCAGAACTTTCTTGCTTATTGAATCCCACTGCAGACCCCAATCGTTCCTGAAACGCTGTTCTTGGGGTACGGGGTACCCCCAGGAACTGCATGAGGGGTATGTCGGAGATCTGCAGTGGAATGGGGAATTAATGAAAATCACATGCACCCTTCCAGTATTGGACATCTACAACTGGATCAAACCCATTCAAAAAAGTTCTCAAATATAGTCTCATGGGAATTAATCTATCACAAAAGCATTGATAAGTTTTCCCACACTCTAGTACACGTACATTCACACATGGGACTCTTCTCGGCAAAGTAACTATTAGCACGTTCAGCCACTCTGATGATAACAGACCTGTCCAGGTGATTCTTGAAATAATAAGCATACCACCTAGCCACATGTGGCCACAGTATCAGGGCTTCTTTCTTCTCCATGTGGCCCCTTCTCCTACCTGTAAGCAACATCCTGTGTTAGCATCAGAAGTGACTCCCGGAACAGAAGTCAGTCACCCTCGAACAGCCATAAATCTATGCAGAAGGTACCATAAAACCCAATAGACAAAGAAAGTGAAAGTGCCATGCAGTGTAGAGGGAGATTAACCTCCCGACGTGGCTATGGAAGAACTGCGAGGAAACAGATGAGTGCAGAATTAGCCCGTGTCTCAGGGGGCTTTTCACACATTACCAGGGGTCATTTCGTAGAAAAAGAGGTACAGGAGCTCATTAGCATAACTCATTAGCATAACTTATTTGCATATGCCACACACCCCTGACATCACCAAGTGTGTCAGAAGGCAACACCCACCATTCAGGCTCCACTGGACTGTTTTGGATTGCTAGCTATTGGGCGGGGGAACGTGCAGAAGAGGGAGAGCTTGTACCTGAATAAAACTTGAAGGTGCCACTGGACTGTTTTGGGCGGGGGGGGGGCCTCTGCAGCTTACCTGGCTGCTTCTTGCTCTGACTGAGGGCTGCCGGGAGCGGGGGGGGGGCTTGTTGCATGTGCCCGCCCCCTGGGCTCTTTACTGCCGGAGCTCCGCTCCTGTGCGCTCCTGCAGGAAATGACCCCTGCACATTACCATTTTAGGCATACAGTTTTGAATGGCTGGGTAGTTAAACCTGTGTTTATATACCCCCCCCCCCCAACGTACTGGCCTTGTTCCCTAACTTTACAATGGCGTCTTGTTCCACAGGCAATTCTCGAACAGATCAATGAAAACAAAACGATGACCAGTTGTGGTCTCCAGTCCTTGAATACGCTGATGGTTGTATTTTCTGTGCTCCTACCAACAGGTAAGGATTTTGTTAGAAAAAAAGATAATTGTAGCTGTGTTATAGTTTCTTAGAGTAAAGTTTCTTGTAGCTCCTTCAAGGTAAAAGTATTATTTCATGGGCTGTAGCCTACTAAAGCTCATGCCACAATGCCTTCGTTCATTCTAAGGTACTGCAAGACCTTCTCCGCTTTCTGTGTGTTAAAGCTCGCCCGGTACGACTTGGGAGGGAGTACTAATTGGTTATGCCATAGCCAATCCAAGAAATTGCAAGTTTAACAAGGTTGTGTTTAGTTAAAATGTATTTAGTTGCTTTACTCCAGTTTTCATCCACCAAACGTAACCTGACTGATTAGTAGCCCCAGGTTCGTGGTGTATCTCTCCATCCTCATCAGTAGATCCATCCGGTAAGTTCAGCAGAGCTACAGTAGACATACTCTGTCCTCAGCGTGTGCCGAACTACATTTGCATTTACCATCAACCAAAAGATCCACATAACTAATACATGCCCCTTGTGCCACATCACCAAACACACACATGCAACGATATAAGATGCAACGACTAATATTAAATACGCAGCTATAACCTTTTCAATTTACCAGAGTACTTCAGAGCATGTAGGGTTATCGCTCCATGGCCACTGTTGAACTTGAGCCAGCCCTTGCATAGCCAGAGGGAGGGGAAGAGCTTCCATCTTGTCTTGCTCTCTCCTTAGTATGAGGCACAACAGGTTGGATGAGAGATTGAGATGGCCCAGGTGCCTGGAAGGAGAGCAGGCTGTCTGTGGAAGAAGCTGAGTACCATCCCCCGGGGGCTAGCTTGCTCTTGTCCTGTGTGGCCCTGACCTGGATAGCCTAAGATCTCCTGAGACCTCCAAGGAATACCAGGGTCATGACACAGAGGCGGGCAATGGCAAACCACTTCTGAAATATCTCTTGCCTTAAAAACAAGTCTAGCTCAGCACCTAGTCGTGCATAATGCTAAAAGAGCTAGAACTTCTGGCTGCCAGACAGTCTTAGGATCTCCTGGCTATACTATACTATACTATACTATACTATACTATACTATACTATACTATACTATACTATACTATACTATACTATACTATACTATACTATACTATACTATACTATACTATACTATACTATACTATACTATACTATACTATACTATACTATACTATACTATACTATACTATACTATACTATACTATACTATACTATACTATACACAGCCCAAGATCTCAGGGCTCCTGAGACCTCCAAGGAATACCAGGGTCATGACGCAGAGGCAGGCAATGGCAAACCACCTCTGAAATGTCTCTCGCCTTAAAAACAAGTCTAGCTCACCACCTAGTCGTGCATAATGCTAAAAGAGCTAGAATTTCTGGCTGCCAGATAGTCTTAGGATCTCCTGGCTATACTATACACAGTGCCATACGATGATGATGATGATGATGTCCTGTTGGTGTTACATACTCCTCTTTGTAGCCAGCTTGCTCTTCTCCCAGCAGCATGGAGCCTTTAGAGAAGGGTGATAGATTCTTGGAGAGGATAGACCCTTTATTTCCATCCCTGGCACAAGGCCCACATCTCAAGGAGGTTCATAGCTTTCTTGTCCTCCAGTCCCTTCCGGCTGCTCAATGTGGTAACCACCTGCCAACCACAAGCACTATTGGGTGATGGCCATACCTGCTTTTGTGGGACATAAGGTAGCAGCAACATGGGGGAAAGTATTCAGAAGAGCCACATGTGGCTCCCAAATCACTGATTGAGTATCACTTGGTTAGGATAAGCATTGTGATGCAGATGCTAATCCACATTTCGTTGTCATTATTGCCTTGTGCATGAACAGATTTCCTTGTTGGATCTTCAAGGAAGCTCTTCTTTGTGTGTGGAATACTCCAGCATTAGCACATACAAGTTCACTATTTTAATATAACCAAGTTCTGAATGGTCAGGTGGTCAACGAGCTCTATATCTCCAGGAGTTTCCCAATCTGGATCAGGCGACACTGCCCCCCATCCCCCACTAGTGGCTAGGGGCATGGCTCTTTTTGTAGAAAAAGCCCAGCAGGAACTCATTAGCATAATAGGCCACACCCAACACCAGAAACTCATTAGCATATTAGGCCACACCCCTGCCAGCACAGCTCATTAGCACATTAGGACGCACCCCCATGTTACCAGAAGTGTGGTTATCCAGCCATACCCACCTTTTGTTTGTTAATCTGTTTACCTTGTTTGTTGTCAAAACCCAGGGCTTTTTTGTAGCAGGAACTCCTTTGCATGTTAGGCCACACACCCCTGATGTAGCCAATCCTAATGAATTTCTGCTGTTGGGTGTGGCCTATTATGCTAATGAGTTCCTGCTGGGCGTGGCCAACTTGGGAGCCAGCCGGACATTCCTGCCCAAAAATAGCCCTGGTTAGGGGGATCCAGCAACCCTGTTGCTAATGTATATTGCTTTCAGGTACTTAAGAATTCCTTCTGCACCCCTTAGCAGTCCCAGGCAGATATCACAAACAGGAGACTTGTTGGAGCGGTGACAGGGGTGGGCAATAGATTTTGCAGTCTTGATGCAGGTGGCAATGTTCCCTCTAAGCTGAGTTAGTGTGAGCCAGCTCACAATTTTTTAGCCTCCGGCTCACACGTTTTTGTCTTCACTCAGGAAGGAGGGCTCCAGAGCAAGCTAATTTATGCAGCGGCCAAATTGCCCGCTCACAGCTTTAATGCCAGTAGCTCACAAAATAGAATTTTTGCTCACAAGACTCCGTAGCTTAGAGGGAACATTGGTAGGTGGTTCTACTTCCTTGGACGAAAATGGTTCTAACATGTAGGATTGCAGAGAACAGACTGAACAAAGTTTTAAGGATCAGAAAGAAGGTCAAAGGGCTTCAGGTGGAGTGAGGGTTGGTCCCCTGTAATGTCGACGGCATATTCCAGATGTGCACAACGTTTTCTTGCTGATTTGCAAAAGCAAAATATTCAGACCTATCGATAACATGAGACTGGGAGGCAGGTTGGATCCATCTGTGCAAATTTTAATGCTTTTTTAAATTTTAAACTTCACATAAAGTCCACCTTTCTTGCTGAGCCCAAGATTGCACAATTAAAAAGAATACAATTGGAAAAATATACAACTGACAAATGCAATATAAACTGGATTGCAGAATTAGAGAATGCACTAGAAAAACTGGAATGCACACTATAAAGCAGGATCACAAAACTGAAGAACAAATGTAACATAAACGGTTTAATATACACAATGAAAACTGCCTAAAATTTCACAGATCTTTTCCTTTTATAAAAATATCCTTCTCAACAATTCAGTTCTATACATTTTGTGGAACAATAACAATATGGGAATGTTGCAGGCTATTCCACGGGGGGGGGGAGCCATAGGAGAAAATGCTCGGGTATACCAGCAGCTGTTGATCTTTCACCTTTGGAGGGTGTGCTTCAGAAGGCTTAGCTCAGATGAGCAAAGCTGCCACAGCAGAGCACATCAGGGGAGGCAGTTCTGTAGCTATGTAGGTCCTGGTCTGTGAAGGGATTTGAAGCTAACAGCCATCCCCTTTAATTGAACTCTGGAGCCTAATAGGTAATTAATGAGGCGATTGCAAAATAGTTGCCTCACTCCTGCTAGTAATCAAGGTGCAGCATTCTGCACTGGCTGAAGTTTCCAAGTTGTTTTTAAGGGCAGGCCGAAGCAAAATTGCATTGCAACAGTCTAGCCTACTGGGTCAAGGTAGGGAGCCATCTTCTGGGCAAAGTGAACGTGGAAGAAGGCGTTTTTCTGGCAGGTGTATTTAACTTGCTTCTCCAACCACTTTGCTGGGTCCAGTATCATCATCATACTCTTAATGGAGTCACCAAAGGGTTGTTTGCACCCCATCAAAAACGAAAAGCACAATACACATCAAGACCTCAGCCTTCCTGACCAGCATCACTTCTGGGTTCAGTATTCAGTTTTTAGCCATTTAGCCGTGCCATAGCAGCTAGGCACCGGCTCCAGAATACTTAAGAAGCGCCCATGCTCTAGACAAAGAACTATAGAACTTGAATGTTGTGAATATTTCGACAGGCAAATCCAAATTCATGAATGATTTTTCCTAATGCTTCAATAGGCTGGCATGGCCCACGGTATGAAATGCTGCTGATAAATCCTGTAAGAGCAACAGAGAGGCACAGTCCTTGTTTACATTCGAATGGGGTTGGTATTGTGGTAAAACGACCCCCACCGACCCTTTTTTTGCTACAGGGAATGATGAGTGTACCCAGCTGGCCCATGGCTCAAACCTTAGTGAGATATTCACTTAACAGGTTTATCCCACTCATTCACTTTTACAAATAGAATTTACTCTCTGCTGCCACCAGCAGGCCACTTAGAAGCACTGTTAAAACGTTGACTCCCCTTTCATTTCAGTTGCCGGAGGTAAGGGAGGAAATTGGAAATCTCAGTTAAGAGATATTCCCAGATAGGCAGACTCTCCCTGCTTCTTTCTTGTACTTTGATAAGCATGAGTCTTTGCCCATTGTTGCTGAGATCAAATAACTTCCGTTTCAGAAAAAGAGAATCATGGAATGACAGAGTTGGAAGGGGCAACGCAGGCCATCTAGTCCAACCCCCTGCTTAGTGCAGGATCAGCCTAGAGCATCCCTGACCAGTGTCTGTCCAGCCGCTGCTTAAAGACTGCCAGTGAGGAGGAGCTCACCACCTCCCTAGGCAGCTGCTTCTACTGTTGCACAACTCTGACTGTAAAATGTTATGTTTAAGTGTGTAAGTAACCTTTGGTTACAACAAGTAAAAGCATACAGCGAAAGACCACAAGCATGTGAACACAGGGGGGGAAATGAATAAATGTAAAGGCATTTCTTTTTCCCTACATCTAAAACTTATCTCTATGATACTGAAGAGAGAGACAGAAATAATCCTAATGGTCCCAGGTTTGTAGTTTGGTTTCTGTTCATCTCAGTTTTACATTTTTTATCCGTCTGGCTGGGCACCTCTCTTCACACTG